AAAAAAAAAAAAAGAATGGGATTTAAAATAAATATAAACCAAAATCCTGATGCTTTTTTCCTGCACCCAATGTATGCCAGGTATGCACAGTGCATACATGGAAGGGGTAATCACAAGGCAGGATACCTAATTGTCAGAGGTGGTCTATGGATCTCAAAACTCAATGTGCACATTGGAATTACCTGGGACATTTAGAAACCATCCCCATGCCTGAGTCCCACCCCAGAGATGACAATGTCATTGATCTAGGCTACAACCTGGGCATTGAGACATTTTAAAAACTGATCTCCAGGTGATTCTAATGAGCATCTAGGGTTGAGAACCACTGTTTTCCATGAACAGAGTCCCGTAAGTGGGGCACACAACCCAGGAACCCCAAGGAGGGAGAGACCTCTGTGGTCTGGAGGATCCAGAGGGTATAAGCAAGAAATCATGAATGTTTGCTGGGAGGTTTGAGCTTGTACAACTGCTGCCAAAGAGATACAGTGCAGCTGGAGATAACCATAAGAGTCCAGGGGAAAAAGCAAGTCCCTCCAGTGAAGTCAATAATGGTTTTGGCCGGTGAGGGGGAGGGGATAGTGTTTGACGACTGAGAAAAGACCTATCATTATCAACTAAAACAGGCTCAAGAGGCTGTGAATCACTTTTGCTACCTCTCCACCTCCTTCAGGTGTCTCCCCTTGCTCAAGAATCTGCAATGGTTTCCGACCGCCTGCTCCAACCAGACCCAATTCATTGGCAGGGCTTTCACAATCCTCCAAATCTAGCCCCAGCACACCCTCAGCAATTCCCTCCCTCAGCTCCTCCTACCTGGTCTCTTTGCTCCCCCTGAAGCACATCACCCAAAAGCTTACTTTGTTTGGGCCTCTCTATCTGCTGCAAGGCCATCCCCACCCAATCTAAATCCCCCCATCCCCAAATTTGATTGTGCCGTGTAATAATAATAATAACTCCTATGTATGCTGAGCTCTTACCACTTCCAAAGTGTTTTGCCAGAGACCACTTCATTCTCTTTTGGTTTATGAAATAGGAAAGGTAGGTGTTATTATTCCCTTTCTACTGATGAGAAACTGNATCTG